ATCAGTGGAAGATCAGAGGCAAATTTCTTATTCATGGTGGAGAAAAGTGCTACACAGGGCCTTCAAATCAACAATGATTGCTATGTTGTTCCCAAGCTAGTTCTCTTATGTTTCACACTGTATACATGACTTGTTATAGACTGCTTCTTCCACTAGATACAAGCTAACTGTAACTTATTCAACTCTGTACTTTCCACACCTGGCAAAATATGTGGAATGTAAAAGTCACTCAATAAATATTTATTGTACTGAAATGAACAGACCCACAGCATTAAAACTCCTTAAGTTGGCTCTCAATGCCTCTTGTTACATGATTTCAACGTCACCTTCAGTCTATCTCCCAAGGAGAACCTGGGTGACAACCAAGCCACTTTAGTCTCCAACCTTGAAATATACTGAAACCTCTTTCCCTCTTTCCATACCTAAGGACATCTGCTGGTTGTCATAAATCCAATTTAAATCTTACTTTCCTTGGGGATTCCATTCGACTACAGACTGTTCCAGATCCAACCATCATAAACCACTTGTCATGCCCACAAGAAACTTCAGGACAATCTAATTCACTTGTTTCTACAGTAAATTTCAAAAAAATTAGTCCTCAGAAAGCACTGTCTACTCCTATTAGTTTATAGAGATATTGTGCTTCTCCACTTTATGCCCAAAGGAGAAGACCAGGGTCACAAACTCAGAGAGTTGCAGAGGACAGACAGGTAATGCAAATGGACTAGTCAAATGGAAGAAAATCAGGAGCCGAATGACTGTGGCAAAGTAGAATTCAAGCACCCCAGCCTTCCCCTTCCTGAGGCAGCACAGAGCCAGAGTTGCCACACTTTCCCATTTTTGATAGGTCTAAACTGTGGGAGCCAAACAAAGCAGGTCTGTGTGCTGCCAGTGTTGACCTTGTGTATAACACACTGTTTTCCTAGAGTTTAGAGGCTGTTTCCAAATAAAACCACCAGAGCATATGCAGGGGAAAAAAAAAAAATTGGAAGTCACTATGCATACAAACCCTGGGCCTAATAGGATCCAGTAAACTGCTATTGGGTGAGTATTTTGTGATGCCAAGCCAAAACCCTAAGCTCTAAAAACACCTCAAGGAGAGCAACAGTTCTCCTTTGGAAAAGCTCATTAATGGGACTTTACACAGAGACTGAAGTTTTAATCACACTGGTTGCATCTTATTTTTTTTTTTCAAGACTTATTTTTTTTTCAGTTCTATTTTCACCCTTTATTGGGAATACAGAGCAATTATTACAGTCTTGGAACATTAAATGAACAAATGTGGCTGATACAGTATTGACAAGCAGACCTGAATTCTGGGATTAAGTGGTTTTCCAAGAGTGGGTAGGAGCAAAAACAGGTGAGAGATCTTAAGAGAACCACATTACTCAGCCGCCAAAGGGTGTTTTGTCTTCAACTCATTAATGGCTGGAAGGAGTGCCAGTCCTGGTCAACCATCCATGATCTTCATCACAGCACACTGGAATCTCTAGTTTTTCAAATTAGTTGTAGATAGAAGAGTAAATGCCTCCAGACTGACTTATACATTGATCTGGGTGACTATTAAAGCATCCTCCGTTTGTAAACTAGCAAAATCTTCAGTGTGATTGTTGGAGCAAAGAGCCTTTCATGTGTTCCCAGTTATTATATAGAGCATAGAGGCTCATGTTAGTCCTGCTAGACCACCTCGTGCTACCCCTCGAAGACCACCTGTACATTTATACAACATGCCTGTCGTGGTTCCAGCCACTGGTTGCATCTTAAACACACATGTTTGAATAAGGGGTGGTTTGGTTCTTTCAGAAAGAACAGAAACCAAAAAAGCCTGCAATGGGTTTTAACCAAACTATTCTGGTGTAGAAACATGGTCCTCTTTCTTAATAGAAACAAATATACATTCACATATTCAAATTCACATGTTCAAAACATCTCAGTGGAATTAAAATAAAACAGGGCACTAAAGTGAATTTTGATTATGTTATCAAGGGCAAATTCTTGTTTGTTCCCCCCCCCCCACCTTTTCTGTATCACATCCCTTCCTTTTGGAAACTGCTTGCCTCTACAAATACATATTTCTGCTGGGGCTGTCAATCAAATGGGTCTATGAATGGGCACAAAACTAGGCTGGCCAATGAGAGAAACCTATTTCCTGGATGTAACAGTTGAACCAAAAGTATGCATGACTTAGGTCAGGCCAATGGAAGATCCTGATATTTCAGAGACCAGGATGTTGGACAGGGTGAGATGGTAAACTGCAGGGACTATGTGGTCCTGGATCTCCCAGTACAGGACATGGAGACAGACTTCCTACCAACACACATGAAGGTGTGACTTCAAAGCAATGAAAAGAGGTTCCTGGTAATTTTATCTGGACACAGATCCAATCACCAGTGAGGCCACTGTAAACTCTGACCAATAAGTAAGCTGTGAGACTGGACTAAGTTTGATTTGGGTTCCTCTAAGTTACAAATGGGGCTGCGTGCGTGCAGGAGGGTGGAGAGGAGCTACTCCACGTTCAAGGTCAGGAGCGGTGGCCATGAGGAGATACCCTCATCCAAGGTAAGGAGCAGCGGCTGCGCTTTGCTGGAGCAGCTGTGAAGAGATACCCCACGTCCAAGGTAAGAGAAACCCAAGTAAGATGGTAGGTGTTGCGAGAGGGCATCAGAGGGCAGACACACTAAGACCATAATCACAGAAAACTAGCCAATGTGATCACATGGACCACAGCCTTGTCTAACTCAGTGAAACTAAGCCATGCCGTGTAGGGCCACCCAAGACAGAAGGGTTATGGTGGAGAGTTCTGA